AACACCCTTTTAGGTCTTATTGTCAAGCCTATATGTGGTTGTCACTCCTAGGAGGTCGGCAGAAGTAATTGTTAAGTAATCCGGAAGGTAACACCTCAGAAATGACTATTTAATAACCCGTGTTTCACATTTAATCGTAATCGATTTTGTCATACTAGAGAAATGTGCCCCTTCATCCTTATAATGGCACAGTTAACATACGTTGTTGTTTATATGGAGATACTGTATTTGAATACCATCATAACTCGTGTTTTCTTATCCCGAAACTCACCTTACAACTTGTATATAACATTATTTTGAGTATATTATGATCCAGGTAATGGTGGTCTGTTTATACCCGTTACAATGTTCATCTAGCTCAAACTGTCTCTCCTTCTGATTGTTTTCTTTGTTTGGCTTGTTTTCTTAGCTTATGTTAGAATAAGAGTAAACCATTATCCTCTCTGTTGCTTACACCTTTTTGTATTTCTAGAATACGATGTATAGTATATATAATACCACAAAATGTTCATACTTAACTTTAATTTGTTATTATAACATTACATTTATGGTAAGATTGATTTCAACACACAGTAAATTAAATGATGTGTAGAGTTAAATTTTGTTTCTAGAATCAATTATGTTTGTGTGTTTAAAAACCCTGATTTTCTTTCTTGTTACCAGTTGCTTAGCATGGGTAAAACGATATACTAAAAGTGCTAGTATAGGATAGTAGAACTATAATACGTGTATAGTAGTACTATACACGAAATTTGAAAAGGGATTTTGTCATGGTTTTAGCAGAAACTAAATCCGTATTGTATTAGGTTCATTTTGGTCTATACCTCATAGTAGTAATATATATTGTCCGAAAACAGTTATACTGTGTAATAAGTAATCTACTCGTACATTATTACGATATGATATAACTAAGCCTATTACGAATATTAAGTTAAATTTTGAACACTCAGGTAATAGCATTGATAACTTATAACGTATCTTGATGGAATAATAGGTACTCGGTTTCTGTTATGCATTGTATCTTGATAACGAGATAAGCTTGTAGACGCTACCGCTGTTGTATTCTCAACCATTGTGCAAGATAGGTCTATTGTTATAGATTTGATTGATAACTCTATAAATCCACATCTGCTCCTCTTCAGCTCTAAATTTATTAGACGTTCCTTTTAATGTAAGTATTATGTTGTATGAATAAAAATACTTGTTGTAACAAAATCACCTTTGTGTTAGTTAAAATGACGTGATTGCACTATAGTTTGAAACAGTAATTACTCGGGAAGAGAGAATAACTTGGCATGGAATGTTACTGCACTTGGGCTTATATGTATCCACCCGAGAAATAATCTGCAAACCAAGGGGATGTAGGTTGCCATATATCAATGTTGAGTAGTGATACTTTGATATTATTTACCATTTCTAAGATGCCATCTACTGCAACACGACATGTTACAGCCATATTAAACGTTTTTCATCTAAATATTCTATTTATAAACCTAACCCTAACCTTTTTCTTAAGCTAACCTAAATTTTAAGCGCTATCATATCATACATGTTTTGTATCTTGTAACGTGGTGTTTTAGAGAAGGTTGATAAAAACTATTGCCTGCATCAATGTTCATTTATTTTGTCATTGAAATCGTGGCCTCTTAAAAGTTAAAAGTTACCAAGTAAAAATATAGACAATTTGGATTTATAAAAAACTATATATAGTTTCAAATAAAGTTTCGTTTATATAAACTTTAATGTTTCAACCAAGGCTAAATTCACGGGTTTGCTATGTATACTCGATAGCGTATCCATGCATACCATTTCAATTGAAGTTAATTACAGTTCATTAAGTTGGTTACTATTAAATTATCGCTGTCTTCTCATTGTTTATGTATGAATATATTGCGTTATAAATTAATACATCATTTTTTAGGTACTTGCCCATAAATATCACGTAAATGTTTTAGTAAGTGTTGTTCGTAGTGTAATAAATGCTATTTATTAGCTATGTAATAATTGTAGTTGAAAAGTTCCCAAGTTTTGTTTATGGACATGATTGAATCATTATTTTAATTGATTTCTTATGTATATTTGACCTAATTGATTTAGTTTGTCTAATACACTCAAAGTTTGTTCAAACAGACAAATAGTCAACCAGAAAAAAAATGATGTATGAATGTTCCTTGTTTTCAAAATATTACATGTCATACTAAGAGTATTTTTATTTTAATAATCAAATTGTCTTATCTTATGTACAGCCTTCTTTCTTATAACAAATCAAAAGGTAAGGTGTGCATTTTTAGGAAATGAAAGTAATTCAACAAAAATCTTGTAGTTTACTCATAAAAGTTACATTTTTAAGTAATTCGTGTGTATATCAATGTTTACAATTAATAAAAACGCACATAAAAGTAATCACATGTCAATACTTAATCATCGTGATTTAACATTGTATATACTTACAGAAAGCGCATAAATGAGTTTCGTAATCGCCTGTAGGAACATTATCTCCCAGCGGAGTTGAAACCTCTTCCTGCGGATCCGCCTCTCTGTAAACGGTTGGTCGACATAACGACGCCGTAACACGATACACATTGCTGAACTCACACGCTTGCTAACTTTTCAACTGATATAATTCTTTAATCAAGGTACGATTTATTGTATGGGTTTAGGTGTTAGTACGTATTCAAAATAAACATTAGTGCAGATGGATAAAAAATATACAGGGTGTTTTTTTTTAAACTTGCATCTTTATTTATGTAAAAACCACAATAGATAGAAATATGCAGTTTGGTGTTTTGAGGGTCAAAAGTGAGAAAACCCAATTTTTACCCCATAAAACCCCCCGTAAAGCCCTGTTCCCATGGTCCGATCATGCTGGTTCGCGAACTCATTCAAGTTTATCCCGCTTTACACCTTTAAACCAAATTTCATCAAAATCGGACAAAAATTACTCAAGTTATCGTGTTCACGGACACACATATATATATATATAAATCTATATATATATATATATATATATATAATATTACTATATATCGATATATTGATGTCTGGGGACATCAAAATGAAAAAGTAAATCGCTCCCGGGCTTAGGTCTTACCATGCCACATACGGTAATAGCTACTTCCCTATAGGGAAATTCGCTAATACTTCCCTATAGGGAAATTCGCTAAAACACCCTGTATATAACAATTTAGTAACCTATTAAGTTATTTATTACCTTTGTACTGAGAGTAATGGATGTTGTTGGGGCGCGGTGAGTATGCTGGTCCAGCAGGGGGAGCCTGGGTCTTCTGGCCTGAAAGCTTGGGTTGGAATCCCGCCAGTCGCCAATGAACCTTATCCCTGCGATAACGGCGAGATGGCCTAGTCGCTCGTGTAGGTCCACAATCAAAGTAGATAAATAAGGACGTGTCCGTATTGTTCAACATGTATTGGTTTGAATTTATAGAGATACGATATTTTAGATATTTATGATATTAGAGATATTTTAGCGTCATAACGAAGAAAGATTCTTTCGTATAATGATTTTCATGTTTGTGATATTTTACAAAACACCTAATTGTAATAGTTTACAATCATTCATTCAATTCTCTAACGAAAATAGTTGCCATACTCAAAAGGGTCTGTTACATATTATATTTACTATAAAACATGTAAGTGGTATTAAATTAATGCCTAGAAAGTGCATTTAGCGAATGCCTAGAAAGAAAACTTAGTAAACGTTTATAAACCATACCTATATATACTGCAACACATACTTATATACTGCAACACACAGCAATATCGTAGTGTAAAATGTATAAGATTGGTTACTATTGTAGAATATTTAATATAAATAAAAAGCTAATGCCTGACAGACCAGATGGGCCAAAAGGTTTCAATAAATCAACCCACGAGGCTTATGGGACAGGGAGGGTATAAATTTAAACTGTGACACGTTATGATATGACTTTCTCCCTTGAGACTCATACAAAACTGTAGCTCACACACGTTAGTACAACTTATATATATTTAAATTGTAACATTTAACAGGGTTTGGTGTTTAAAAAAAAACTTGAAAACAAAATATATAACCGTCAAGGAAAAGGAGTTGACCAAGCCAATATATTACGTGTTTAGAGTAAACTAACTTTTATATAGATATTTGCCATTTACTCTTCTCATATGCTAGTAACTTTTATTTTTAATTAAATTAATTCCATTGCATATTAGCAAATTGATATTAAAGCGAGAAACCCTCTTTTCAATTTCAAATTAGGATACATTTACTTTATGAATTGATCTACTTACTTGAATTGGGTAACGTTTTTATGTTTTTAATTGCTGAAGTAGTAATCCTCTATGTATATCTGTATTAATAGAAGTTTAAACATCAGAACAATAATATAGTGTTAAATATATCTTAACTAACTCTGTCATCGTATTGCAAACCAATGAAACGACCTGGTTTTTGCTATACGGAAAAGTCTCTGCGAATATACGAACATAAAATTATGATATGTAAGTAAGAAATATGATTTAGTAAAAATATTATGTTTCCATTCAAATATACTCATAGCAAACCAGATATAATATTATAGGCTTTATTAACTTTTTAAAATATATAAAACGATTAGAATACATATTATATTTAATATTTTTAATGCCAACGATTACCGTTTCTCTATATTATCAATTCTCATTCAAGTATTTGCCGGTCCATTAGTAACCATCACCATTCAGTTACAAACTGTCCGCCTCTAAATGGCTTTGAGATTCTGATTGGGGTTAGTTTTCAAATAAATTAAAGTAAGGTCAACTTTGCCATCGAAAGGTTGTATGGCATATGTACTTTTAATATAATGTTGCAGGGAAAAGTGATTTCTTTTAGCATCTTTTTTTATATTATGTAAGTTGATTAGGTGTTCGTTCAGATAAGCATTTTTTAAATTATAAACATCTATAAAACCCACTGGTTGATTCGCATGCGAGGGAAGACGATATGTTTGATGAAAGTAAGAAAAATCTTTAAAAAAACGAATATTTTTATTCACAACGAAAAACATAGCATTTATATTTCCAACCATAATTTATTTTATAAAATACAAAATATATACACATCAAGGTTTACTTAACAATTATTCATAGTCTAATACAACTGCAGGTACTCCGTGAAGCTTTGAGTATAAAAATAAATTACTTTAACTCTCTCAAATAGTACACAATTTAATAAGTAAACTAAAATAATCTTTTAACAACGACCTGATGGAAATAAGTAAGAACAACAATCATGTTGGCTTTAGTTGCTGTTTTAACAAATTTTTCCCTCATGAAATTAGTCCGGAAAACAGGTGTTTGCCGCCTGCTTATAGGTCGGTCGCTAAGAAAAAGATCTAGCGTTAGAATTAACATTAGCGCGCAGGTCTTTTTCTAAGCGGCCGACCAATAATCAAATGAAGTATCAATACGTTACTATATTGTATTGCATTTTTACTAGACACCAGCTGATTATAATTATCGGCAATAAGTCAACGAATAACCTCTCACAAAGTCCTTTTGTCGGTGGGAAAATATAACTGATTTGTACAATTTTATTTTACTGTTAGGTTGGTTTAGACTATGGCGAAAATACCGTACGCCACTCGTCCAAAATGTCGTCTCGTCCAGTAAACACCTCGTAAAGTGTCGGATCATACTCGTCCAGTAAACACATATTTTCCGGACTAGTAACGTAATATAATATTTCGTAATTATTTTATAGCTTTTGGGCAATTATGCTATTATTATTAACTATTCCAATGTATTAGGTGATCATTTCAAGCCAAATGGTTAGGGCACGGTTTGAATAATACAGTTTAAGAAATTAAGATACAATTTCTTAGCAATACGTGTATTGACTGTAAAGAACTTTCTTAAGCGTTATATCACGTTATTTAAACAAAAACTATATAATAGTCAAGGTGCTAAAACATCACAAGCAGTGCATTTTGTCTTAGACATTTGGCATGCAAATACTGAATTATAACTAACCAAATAGATTAATGTCTATTGTACAAAACCACTTCACATTAAAACACTGTTAGTAAAGAACCATGAGATCTCAAAACATGTATTTTCTTCCTTGCAACGAGACTCACATTCCTTAGCATTCATCTTTCTTTTGGTAACATTTCGGTCGAATTAATTGGGTACTTAAGTGTTTACGAACTAAGTACTTTGAACTCTTTCCACAAATTGATCTTCAAAACACCATCTTTTCAGTAAATATTTTAGTGTTTAATTATTTCTACGAATGTTGAATATTCGTTTTACGTCAGCTGGCTCTCCATGTAGCCGGAATCTGCACTATCTGGGACCTAAAACATGAGAACATTACTTTATCATATAACTTAACCAGTTCTAATATTTCAATTATTTTACTAGTGAACTAGCCACTGCCTTGAAACGCTAGGGGGACGCGAAAGAAAAAAAGTTGACTCTTTAAGTTCATTGTATAAAATATTTAAAAATCCATAATTAATAATTGAGTTAGGAATAAACTCAACTGCATCGCTAAGTAACACTGTCACCCCCTCCTTCCGTAATCCCAGGAGAACAGACTGGTCACAGTATAACTCTGACCTACAGTTCCAGTTGGGATCCGTGAGTAGGAGGGTCAGCTGCTTTGCAGACATTGACCAAATTGCGACCGACTTACAGGACGCAATGATCACTTGCTTCCATGACAACTGCCCTCTGGGACAGAGAAAACGCAGTACCAGCACTAGATGGTGGACTGCGGATTCGACTCGCATGAGGGCGGGTGTCAGGAAACTATTCAACCAATGCAAACGGAGCCGTATGTGGGAGCCATATAGAAGGGCACTTACAGAATACAGCCTTGCAATAAAAAAAGCTAAACAAAATTCATGGAGACAGTTTACACAGGAGGTAAACAGTCTCAGTGCTGCGGCCCGCCTTCAGCGGGTTCTAGCGTCCAAACCTATTGGACTCTTGGGATCTCTTAAGGTACCAGGAGGGTACCACTGGGGTTGGAGGAAGCCTCAAACTTCTCCTTGAGACTCACTTCCCTGGTTGCATTTTTGAGAGTGACGACACAGGAGTGTCCGGTTGCACGAATACAAGTTCTTGGCCGAGAACTGATCGTGAAAGCTGGAATACAGCCAGAAGGGTTGTCACTCTCTCTAAAGTTAAATGGGCAATCAATAAGTTTGGTCCATTTAAGTCTCCCGGGGGAGATGGCATCTATCCAGCCATGCTTCAGCAAGGACCGGATGCCCTCAAGCTCCTCCTATGTGAACTCTTCCGAGCGAGCTTGGCCTACGGGTACATCCCTCAGGCCTGGCGTCTCAGCAGGGTGGTCTTCATTCCCAAAAGAGGAAAAGCAGACTACTCTGATGCTAAATCATTCCGTCCTATCAGTCTTTCCTTATTTCTCCTCAAGACCTTGGAAAGGCTGGTGGAGAGGCACATAAGAAAGGGTGTACTTCTCAACACACCTCTTCATCGCAATTAACACGCCTACCAGCCAGGCACGTCCTGCGAAACCACTCTGCACGAGTTGGTCAGCAGAATTGAGGACAGCCTGGCTGCTAAGGAAATAGCCCTATGCACCTTCATGGACATTGAAGGAGCTTTTGACAATGTAACATACGGAGCAATGGTGCGGGGAGTTTGTGAGCGTGGATTCGAGCAATCTCTGTGTAGATGGACAGAGTCTATGCTTAACTCAAGACGCACCGTAGCCGACTTTCTTGGTGAAAAAATTGTGATCGCACCCACAAAAGGATGTCCACAGGGAGGTGTACTTTCACCCTTACTGTGGAACCTTGTGGTGGACGGTCTTCTAACTGAACTCACCAGCAAGGGCATCTTTGTCCAGGGCTATGCAGATGACGTAGTCCTCATGGTACAAGGAAAATTCACAAACATTGTAGCTGACGTCATGAACGGCAACCTACAATGTGTTAAACAATGGTGTCTCAGAGAGGGACTCAACATTAATCCTTCTAAGACAGTCGTAGTTCCTTTCACCAGGAAAAAGAACCTGGATTCTCTTTCCAGGCTGAAAATTGGCACTACTCAGCTGGGAGTGTCGAGTGCGGTCAAGTATTTAGGACTGACACTTGACTCCAAGCTGACGTGGAACAACCACCTGAATAACGCGCTGCACAAGGCCAAATGGGCGCTCATGACGTCCAGGAGGTTTGCAGGAACCACCTGGGGAATTAAACCCCACATAGCACTCTGGCTATACGAGGCTGTGGTCAGGCCTCAGATTACCTATGGTTCACTAGTCTGGTGGACAAAGGTGAATCAGGTAACTGTCATAGCCAAGCTAGAAAGCATGCAAAGGTTTGGCACGCTACAGGCCACTGGAGCCTTCAGGAGCAGTCCATCAGCTACTCTAGAAGTCGCTCTTGGGCTGCTACCACTGGACATCTTCATCAGATCTGAGGCCCTCAAGGCAGCTTACCGTCTGAGGGTTGCAAATCTGTGGAGGGAAGGCCTGTCAGGGGCAGGCCACTGCGCCATTGCTAAGACTTTGGCTGAGTGTCCTGTGCTTGACATGACCTCGGACTTCCTAAGCAAGGAAGCAGTTTTCACCAAACCCTTTAATGTTGAATTCCGCTCCAGAGATGAGTGGAAACATCAGGAAGGGCATCTCCAAGATATGGAGAGCTTCGTCTGGTACACAGACGGCTCCCTAATCGATGGAAAATCTGGTTTTGGGGTTTACTGTCGATCACCCAGAACAGAACTATCAGGAAGTCTGGGACAATACTGTACCATCTTCCAGGCAGAAATCGATGGCATCTTGGCTTGTGCCAACCTAGGACTAGCCAGACGGTACCAAGACAAAAGGATAGTGATTTTATCTGATTGTCAGGCTGCTCTCAAAGCTCTTGACTCAAATGAAGTCACTTCAAAACTGGTCTGGGAGTGTTTCAACACCCTCTGCAGACTTGCATCACAGAACTCTGTAACTATCGGCTGGGTCCCAGGCCATGTAGGCATTGGCGGCAACGAGAGTGCAGACAAGCTGGCAAAAAAAGGTGCGAGCATGCCACTCTTTGGACCAGAGCCATTTTGTGGCATCAGCAAAGCGGCTGCTAAACATGTAATAAACAAATGGTCCAGGGGACATCATATTGAGCGTTGGCGTAATTATCCTGGACAATCACTTGGCAAAAAACTGCTCTCAGAACCTAGCACCCTCTTCACTCGCTGGCTGCTAAAGCTGGGGAGAGGGCAGGTCAAGCAGGTACTTGCTCTTATCACTGGACACGGCCATTTCAGGAAACATCTCCACACTCTAGGAATTGTCAATGACAAGCAGGAGTGTCGACTTTGTAACCAGTCCGATGAGACTGCAAAACACATTATTCTGGACTGCGATGGACTACGGGCTAGGAGAAGGGCTCTGTTTGGTCTAAAGCAGCCAGGTGAGGAACCAGACGCTAACATTGGGCAAAAGCTCCTGCACCTAGTTATGGACACAGGCATAGGCTTACCCATTTAGTGGCAAGCGGGATGCACAATAAGCTTCGGTTGACGTGCTTGGACCATAAAAAAAAATTGTCCACCCTCTTACAATCAATCAATCAATCAACTGCATCGCTTGAGTAAACTATAGCCTATATTTTTTAATCCAACCTAAATAAAAATGTTAAACATTTTATTAGTCTATCTTGTACAAAATAAGTATCCCTGACGCACGTATGAAAATATATGATTCAATTTTGAAATGTACGCTTACTTAAATTGTATTTAATTGAAAACCCGAAACTTATTTAAAATCAGTAGGTGAAAATTAATCTTTCAACAGGGTACTGTAATGAAGGAACAAATCAATTAGTTGACATCAAAGTAACAAAAAGTAGTGATGTTTTGCCCAAGTTATTCTTTTATTTGCCTCTTCAGCAAATTATATAAATTTAACAGCTAGCAAAAAAAAAAATCACTGTTAAAACCCCAAAACATGTATGGTTATCACCAACAAACAACATATACGAACAGCTTGTTTAGATCTAATTTCACGCGTTCCATAGTTCATTGCATTTACATTTACAAACTTACCATCGATTATAGATAGTAAATAATAGTTAAACACTTAACAAGTAACAAAAGTAAACTGCATACGACAATTAACTATTGATATCTTAAATTTAGGTTTAAAACTTATATACTCAGTGAATAAGTGTATTAATAGTCAATGGCAAAACTTATCTTTATGGTAGTCTCATTGGTTTAATTTAAGCAGCTGTATAGTAAACAATTACCTCTAAAATAATGAAAAGGTACCTAAACAAGTTAATTCAAGTGCAAAAAAAGAAGTTATAATAAAATTAAGTATTTTTCCAACATCATCGTACTCAATTGTAAGCCATACACTCTTCACCATACACTCAAACATACACTCTTCAGATTATAAATTAGATGTGAAGTTTAGTGTAGTTTTTTGACTATCCGAAACCGATGATAAAAGAAAAGACAAGTGGTAGCTAGCCCAAAAAGGTGGACATTTAACACATTGCCTAACAAAAACTTGTGTAAACATTACCTCTTTTGAACAAAAAAAATGTCCATTTGTGTTACATATCTTTGATTGAAGAAACGCCTAAGTTATATTTAAGAATATTATCCTAACACATGTTAAGCAATTCAAAATTATAGACCTTGGCACAATCTTAATTTAGAGCAAATAAAGCCACCACATGATTAACAAATTGATTAGAATAGACAATGTGTGCGAATCAGCTGTGTGAAATTGTGAAATGAAGTGAATTTGACAGTCATGTTTGTTTATATTTCAAAGTCCATAGAAATTTAAATATTAAGTTATTTTTTTCTGCTCTGTTGATATTACAATTTACAACGTTTTTAATGTTATAAAAGCTAAGCAACGGCTTATACTGTTTTCGAAAACACTTGTTTAAACCAAATATATCTCAGACTACGGAAAGTTTAGCTGGTAAGTCAGTTTTGTTACAAGTTACTTGCCCGTTGGTGCTGAGCGCCTTCAATAAATCAACAAGCTTTCCAACAGAAGGGTGGTCAGGCAAGGAAAAATATTCCGCATTTGTCGTTATCAAAAGAAAGCTCCTCGACAATATCCTAAATGTGAAATATGACTGGGAGTTTAGTCGTTATGAACAAAATGGTATATAACCAGCTATGGTAATACCATATTATTTCAATTATTAATCTGGTACGTTTGATAAGAAACTTGTTATAATAATGGCAGAGTATGTCAATGCAATAACTTTTAATTTTGCAGATGAAATATTGGAAAACATCACTCAAACTGTTTACGTCAAGGTTAATCAAACGTTAGGTTTTAATCAAGGTTTTCTCTAGGTTTAATCCTCCTCATCCATCCAGGTTGTTCAATAATTCAAATCAATGTTAAAAAACTTACCTAAACAAATATTCCATCGTATATTTTTTAAACAGAATCCTCAACTCAGCTATTCTCGATTTAAAAATTCACTAAAACATAACCAAGCACAATGTCGTATTGTTACCAGTGTATATATATATATATATCGATTAAAAAAATATGACAAGTTTATTGTAGCAGTGTTGTACATTAAATACGAATCCAGCGACACATGTGGACACTCTTAGATCTCTCATCAGTAGGGGTTTTATTTTTTTGTCTTGTTATGAAACATACCATTGATTTCTTGTGTTGAGACACCAGCGACGTCGTAGTGTTTACGTCCGTTGTGACGCTTGAGACCAACGTACTCATACACGTGTCTGCCGAACCTGCAATTGAACATTGGATTATGTGACACATTGTTAACTGTTTTTTTTATTTCTAAGAAATTGTGAAGTATAACTCAACCAAGTGAGAAGTTACGCAGTTTGAACCAAACGTTTAGGAATAAGTTTACAGCTAATACCCCCATCACTAAATAAATGTATTAAAACCAACGAGCAGTTAGATCTATTGAGTTTTATTGATATGATTATTAATAAATGACATTCGTCTCAAGCATCTAGCATGATGATGTTGAGTTAGATATTCATTATTTTTATATTGTGTAAGTATACAAGAGATTATAATGCCCTACATCGAATCTGTAGGTTCATTGGTTCAATTCCAAGCTAAATCTTTTCCTCAGTCTGACGGCCATTTGTCGTTATCGATGTATATAGTGTCATTGCGCTATCAATTAATTAAGTAATCAATATCTAACAAATGGATCGGCATTATTTGGTAATAGAATAAACCGTTAATGGCATTAGTCTGAACCCCTCCCTAGAAAAAAAAAAATGAAAATGCAAATGGTTTTAATAAAAAAAAACTTAAGTCGAGCTATAAATTTTCTGTTGCATTAAATTCAAAAATAAGACGAGAAATTTTAATTAGCATTATTTATCTATATATAAAATCCAATTACTTATATTAGTAACATATGTTTGTTATTTATATTTTGGTTTACTATGCTAGCCTTACTTTACATGGCCATGCTAGCCATTCTATAACATACTATGCTAGCCGTAATATAAACCGTGAGACTTACTGCCGCGCTTGTTGCCATTCTCGTGCGGCCTGTAGCGGCGTGGACGGCGGCTGAACACACTGCCCAGGCAAGTACGTTTGACCGCGTGTTGCGACAGAGAGTTGAGGGGTAGCGACGCGCGGTGGTCCGTCCTAGACCTCCAAGACGGCAATCTACGCCACTTCTTGGCCAGCTCTGTCCTTACCTCGCCATTCAGGAGGCAGTAGAGAATCGCTACGAAAAACCCCTGGAAATTTATTTCATATCACTACTAATTTAAATAAAAAACAATGAGAAATAAAGAAACAACTGTCATCCATAGAATGTTATCTACAGAAAGGTCTGACCATTAGTGCAAAATATGCTAAGTAGGCCCAATCTGAGGTGTGCTCTCCTAGTACCAGTACTATGCTAGAGCTGCCTAGCGTTGGACCGGAGCTAGATCGATAACGATTGGAGTATTTTGCTCCGTATACGAGCGTTAAATTGCTCAACGACAGATAGTGTAGGTCGTAGGAAAAAACAGGTTAATTTTTTATATTTTCAGAAGAAATTACTCGCTACCGATGTTTTTTTATTTGTTTTTGTTTTTGTCTTTAGTCACTGCAATTTCATTTGAGAAACAATGTTTGTATGCATATGACTTGAGATGTTTTGTAAATAAAATTTTTATGTTAAAACCTCTTTAGATAGAGGGATAGATCATAATAATTTGTTATACATCACATTCCGAAACCTAACTAATTAACTGTTATAAAAATGTTATCCAAACAAACTTAATATTTTGTTAATTGTAGCTATTCAAATGACAACTAACTCATATTGTTAGTAACTATTCAAATGATGAATATTAACAACTAAATGCAATAACCTGTGAGATGCAAGATTCTTTTTGGTTTGTTTGTGATATAAATGTATAGTTAATCTTGATTTGTTGGCATCATGTAAATAAATTTACAAAAAAAAATGTGTAAAAATGTGTAAATCAGCCTCTGTTAACAACAAATATAAAACAGAGGCTGACGATGGTTTTAGAAGTAAACTCGAAATATACCTACAAATTTTTTTGTAAATTGTGTATAAATTTATTTACATGATGAGTAGCCAACAAATCAAGATTAAAATAAATAATACCATCAAGAAAAAAACATACCGGAATGAATTAAATGTATAGTTCATCTTATAAGGTGCTTATTTTTTTACTAAAACAAAAGATTTAGGAGAAAACATCATGCAAATTGACAACACATTAAGGACACATAACTAAATAATGAACTAATGTTAATGTTATTTGAGTAATATTGCAGGGCAATCAATTTGTTTATTAAACTTTCAGACAGCTCTCAATGGCATCTATAGTCTAGGTAAGAGTATGTGATGGATAGCAATATAGTGTGAGTTAATTTGATGTTTTGTAAAGTATTAAATAGGGCGAAAGCTCTAAAACTTAAATGTCTTTTACGATAATGATAAGCAAATGTATTTAAGAATTAACTTACAAATTATTTTAATATTGTTGAGTTCTAAACGTCTTTAATTATTTTGTCTATAGTTTTTTTTATTTAGTGTAAAACCAATTTATGAGAAAACATTTTACTACAGAAAAAATTATCGCTGCACATAAATAAGTTTACCCTTGTGCACTTGCCTTGCCGTTGTCTTAGACTAGAGTATAGTTAGTAAGGCACCTTAATCGAATCAAGTATTTATCGTTATAAAAATCTTATTCATCTACAAGATAAGGATTAGTAAAGCCGTTTGAACGAAAGAATAATGATATGTTGCTTTCGTCCAAGTTATACAGAAGTGAAAATACAATTTAGCACGAGTAACAGTAAGGCCTAAATCTAGATGTTGTTGCGGGTACCTAGGTATCTTCCAGGTACCTACCTGGAAGGAGGCGAAGACCTGGTCTATGAAGAGCCACACCAGCTCAACCTTCCCCTCCACCCCTATGTAGGAGGTGGTGAGATACACGGCGTAGTGGACTCCGAACAACGGCACCAGCACCAGGGTGGACTTGGCCCACCGTCTACCAGACATTCACTACTTAAAGTAACTCTATAAGTCTGCTACAAACTAATACCATTGACTATATATACCTACAGATACATAACAGATACAGATAATATACAATACATATAATAGCCATACCTACAGATACATATAATAGCTACTGATACATATATTTATACTTATAGAAAATTAGAATAAAAAAATAGATCAACTTACAGATAGCTAAAATTAATTGTTTCCTGTAATATTAAAATGTTTCCCAAAAGGATATTATTTACATAGACGGCGTGATAAATAGTCTATTGCTATATTTGTACTCAGTTGAGTCCAATATAAATATTTTCTTTTCTTTGCCTGAAGTAGTATAATAGTAATCTTTAATATCAACTTGTGTTTTGGTTTGCACTGACACATAGTTTACCAGGCTGGACAAATAAGTATCATTTCCCTTAAGAATCTTATTTTGACTTGAATAAAAAAGAAATTTTGTTTAACACTAGACGCATACACCACTAGTGTTTTGCAAACCACGTAATCATATACTAAAAATATTATTAATCAATTAGCCAATTATATACTGTAAATGTAAAATTAACACTTAACACAGACATGTTTGCTAATCCGAGACAGTTTAAGGAAGGTCACACTAAAAGGGTCACAGAGAAGAACGTGTAAAGCATTAACAGACAGAGAGAGATAAGAAAGGAAGAAGGAGAGGGAATCGGAAAACTCTCACCTGTACCTGTATCTGCGCGTCTCCTCACATATAGACGCCTGTAGCTTGGACAGCAACACTCGTACTATGTTGAGGAACAGGATGAAGTTGATCTAGACAAGAATAATTGTGATTAGTAGACTATACTTAAACAGCAACACTCGCACTATGTTGAGGAACAGGATGAAGTTGGTCTAGACAAGAATAATTGTGGTTAGTAGACTATACTTGGACAGCAACACTCGCACTATGTTGAGGAACAGGATAAAGTTGATCTAGACAAGAATAATTGTGGTTAGTAGACTATACTTGGCCAGCAACACTCGCACTATGTTGAGGAACAGGATAAAGTTGATCTAGACAAGAATAATTGTGGTTAGTAGACTATACTTGGACAGCAACACTCGCACTATGTTGAGGAACAGGATAAAGTTAATCTAGACAAGAATAATTGCGGTTAGTAGACTATACTTAAACAGCAACACTCGCACTATGTTAAGGAACAGGATGAAGTTGATCTAGACAAGAATAAATGTGGTTAGTAGACTATACTTAAACAGCAACACTCGCACTATGTTAAGGAACAGGATAAAGTTGATCTGGACAAGAATAGGCTAAATGTGGTTAGTAGACTATACTTGGAAAGGGACACTCGCACTATGTTAAGAACAAGATGAAGTTGATCTGAACAAGAATTATTGTGATTATTAGACAGAAGCACTCGCACTATGTTGAGGAATAGGATGATGTTAATCTAGACAAGAATAAATGTGGTTAGTAGACTATACTTGGACAGCAACACTCGCACTATGTTGAGGAACAGGATGAAGTTGATCTGGACAAGAATTATTGTGATTAGTAGACTAAACTTGGACAGAAACACTCGCACTATGTCAGGGAACAGGATAAAGTTGATCTAGACAAGAATAATTGTGTTTATTAGACAGAAGCACTCGCACTATGTTGAGGAACAGGATGATGTTGATCTGAACAAGAATTGTTGTGATTCGCAGACTATATTTGGACAGAAACACTCGCACTATGGGAACAGGATGATGTTGATCTGAACAAGAATTGTTGTGATTCGCAGACTATACTTGGACAGAAACACTCGCACTATGGGAACAGGATGAAGTTGATCTAGACAAGAATTATTGTGATTCTCAGACTATACTTGGACAGAAACACTCGCACTATGTTAAGGAACAGGATGAAGTTGATCTAGACAAGAATTATTGTGATTCGCAGACTATACTTGGACAGAAACACTCGCACTATGCTAAGGAACAGGATGAAGTTGATCTAGACAAGAATTGTTGTGATTCGCAGACTATACTTGGACAGAAACACTCGCACTATGTTAAGGAACAGGATGAAGTTGATCTAGACAAGAATTATTGTGATTCGCAGACTATACTTGGACAGAAACACTCGAACTATGTTAAGGAACAGAATGAAGTTGATCTAGACAAGAATTGTTGTGATTCGCAGACTATACTTGGACAGAAACACTCGCACTATGTTAAGGAACAGGATGAAGTTGATCTAGACAAGAATTATTGCGATTCGCAGACTATACTTGGACAGAAACACTCCCACTATGTTAAGGAACAGGATGAAGTTGATCTAGACAAGAATAATTTGGACAATACCACTCGAACTATGTTGAGGAACAGGATGAAGTTGATCTGAACAAGAATAATTTTGATTAGTTAATTAATCTCAATCTATTACGATCTAACATTGAGTTGACATAGGGTAAGCATAAACCTTTATTTTCAATTCCGCAACTCCGTTCATGTATTCGATAAGAGTTAACCATAAGGATTGTGAAGTAATCATGATTTGGAAATATGAGGATGAACCAAGAATATATCAAGTTAAAAGGATTTTTTTAAATCTTTGATATGTTTTTAGGAAATACTCAAATACTTTTCATACCCGTAGTCCTTACTGTATTGATATATGCGTTATTAAGCAATTAAGGTATTACTGTAATAACATTTGCAATTATAAGAAAACTTAATACCCCGCCGCAGCCAACCTGTAGACTAAGTGAATTTCCATTTGCCTATTTGGATTTACACTAAAACGTCTCCTTAAAAATATCACATTTATTCTCTAAATATAATTAGTTTGACAAGTTCTTAGGTTTGCTGCAACAGGGAGGGTATAAAAGTGTTTTTATGTTAATAGTTTAGTAAGAAATAAATTCATCTTCCAAATTTGATCAAAATATGTTCATAAACAAGCAAACTACACTAGTTTATATATATATTCGAACGGATGGTGTTTTTGGCCTCTAGGAACCTCAAAACGGAAAAGTAAATCAGTCCCGGGTCCAGGTCTTACCATTAGTACTACGGTAATAGCTTATTTCCTATATGGATGATATAGGTAACAAATTTATAAATAAAACTCTAGTTATTTACCAAGACAGAGGCTGTGGTGGGCCCTTTGATCAGCTGGAAGTAGTAAGGATTGTCGTTGGTTGTCCAACATAGCGTGTCCTCTAGTAGAGCCCTTACTATCACCCAGGGCCCCACGAATAACACCGGTAGACCTTGACACAAACAAATGAGTCACACTGATGATATTAATGTCAATGTGTATGGCTTCATAATCAAAGACTTTACATTTAATTATGTCCGCCTCATAGTGAACAAGACTTAGGGGTTTTACAAAATCATTAGAATGCTGCTGAAGACGAGCTGTAAGTAGCTCGAAAAATGTACAGCATAAACTACATTTTGACACCTTTAGGCAAAAGTAAGTAAAGTCTTACCTATAGTAAAAATATTAAAGGTGTCAATGCTGCTTATAAAATTCCTTGAATTAAAGTTTGATTCATTGTAAGGGTCATAACGAAAGTCATTTTGAAGGTTATCAAAGATATCCCAAGCGCAGTAATAGATACCCGACAAAAACAAATATCAATTTATTACCATAAGAGATTGTTAATAAAGAGTAAAAAGAGCAAATCAGTACTGAATAGCAACATGGGCTTAGGAACAGAATACAATTTTACCGACTTTTAAGCTGTTTAACGATATAAAAGGACGTTACGAAATTTTTCATTTGATTTTGTCAATTAAGAAACAATTTATATTCTATCCGATCTAACATAAAGCTGTTACCTTATTATATCTCTAAATATTACTTTGGTTTTCTCTAAACAGAAATGTGAGTAAAGTATATACTGTAAGATAGCTCAAAAATTTCTTATGTGTAAATTTAAAAATTATATAGTTACATGTCGATGAGTTCTTACATTCATGTAAGTATGATTAAATTTTTACTGTCCGTGCAAACAATTTATTTATGGACAGTTAAAAATTTATTTACAACCCTCTATACAGGGTGATTCAAAAAGGACTTTACAACTTTGAAAATTCATATAAATCTTATTAAAAAAGGTACAGAGCTGGTTTTGGTGTTGTTTTAAAGGAAAACACTTCAAGTTTTTTTTACCTTAAACTAAATATTTTTTATATGACTTCCGTTGGATTTGGGGAAATTAATTATTAAGGTATGAAAAAATATTGAAAACCGTTAAAAATTTGAGAGAAATTTACAAAATGTTGAAAGTATGGCGTTTTTTGACGGTGAAGGAGTGTGATACACCCACTTCTAGATGTGCTAGGGAGTTGAAATTTCGCACACTTGTAGTTCTTGGTCCCAAACCACCAATAAAATTCCAAAAAGTTGCATTTTCAAATTTTAAACCCCCTAAAAATCCAAAATGGCGGACCTCTGAAAACGACAAAACGCGTTTTTTTCAAACGGCTATAGCTCGAAAACGGTAAGAGCTAGAAAAGATTTGAGGGAAAAACGTAGGTTCGGAATTAAATTTCCTACAAGACACTATTAAGCGTTTTTCGAAAATCGCACTCCTTCACCGTAAAAAAACGCCCTACTTTCAAAATTTTGTAAATTTCTCTCAAATTTTTAACGGTTTTCACAATTTTTTCATACCTAAATAATTATTTTCCCCAAATCCAACGTAAGTCACATAGAACATCTTTAGTTTATGGTAAAAAAACTTGAAGTGTTTTCCTTTAAAACAACACCAAAACCAGCTCTGTACCTTGTTTAATAAGATTTATATGAATTTTCAAAGTTGTAAAGTCCTTTTTGAATCACCCTGTATAATATATCTTAGTTATATTATATAGAATAGTTGCACGAATATGCAACAGGTTCATAAGGTTAAGATAAAATATAATAATACATCGCCGTTTCTGAAGAAAGGAGATATTGTGTCGTATCTCTCACAAAATTAATATTCTGACTCGACAATGTGGTTACATAAATACATAAGAGGATTTCAGAAGCTTCTCTTGCAAGGTAAGTAGAACTAAATGATTTATGATTACAATAGTTATATTTAGAAATAGTTTAAAACTGATAAAAGAGAAACATATTTTTACAGGCTTACATAATTAAACCTGTTTAAGTAATGCCACGGTTCTGAAAAACAATTTAACCATAAATTAAAAAATAAAATATGTATTACAACTACATAGAATGCTACTGATAATGGATAAGATTTATTTTAAATAACTGTAAAATGATGTAAACTTAATTATTACAAATCAAATAATTACCAGAATTGTCTAACACACTATGAAAAATAAAATAAATAGGATAGAACAGAATAGAAAAGTGCTTTATTGGATACAGAATAAAATGAATAACATATAATGAATAACATATTTTCCCTTTTGGTAATTATATTTTGTTGAACTATTTGTTGGATTTCCATCACACCAAACACGTGATGGTCTACTTACCCCAGCCCAAGGCGACGTAGAGAGCTATGGACGATGTGTCGGAAAACACGGAGACGAATATGAGGTTGTGTAGATACAGTCCTTCCATTAGGATCCACGAGTAGTTGACCATGATGAAGTATTGCCAGAGACAAACCAGCATCTTGCACTGCCAACTAAACTATACATACAGTACAGGTTAGTGCATGAAACAGCGTTTTACCAGTGGTGAAAATGTGGACGTTGTTTATAATGTAGTTCATTTATAAGATGAATGCTCTAATATCTTTATAATTTAACTAAAGCCATTATATAGGCCTGAATGGAATAAAAAGCAGTTTATACAATGTATTTATTTTATGTAAATAAAATAAATTTTAATTAGTAGATGATAAAAAAATAACTAGATCATAAAAACCCCAGAATGTGGAACATATTCTGGAGTTTATTATGATCCAGTTATCATAAATATAGCCATTGACTATACACCTCTACTATACTAGTATACTATACTATACTATACTATAGTATACTACTACTACTACTATACTAGTAGAAGTGTATACCTCTACCTCCAACATAAAGTTACATAAGTCAGGGAATGATATAGCATATGTCACAGGTAAGATGTTTTTAAAATATATAATTCATTAATGCCTAAAGTTAGTAAAGTTAATATTATAAACACGTTCCTGCATCACATAAACTGCATTATTGATGATTTTTTTTTATAAATACTTTTTGACTACACAATTTCATACTAGAATGTCTAGGTTGACCTAGACCTGATAAAAACAAACGAAAATTATTTTAGTGTTTTAGGAGATGATTACTAAGTATTAAAGGGATTATTTGAATATAGTTGAATATAGTTTATCTATTGTCAGAGAGCATCTGTAAAAATATCAATACATCTCTAAACGTAACCAAATTTCTATAAGCTACGAACATCTCCGGTGGTTATGATAATCATTGTACGAGAAGCATTAATGACTATTGTATGTCACCCATCAGACATATCGTTGCTGTTCTAGGGAGATTTAAGACTGTCATTTGTAGAGAGTTTCCTCGATGGACTTGGAAGACAAATGGCACTACGTGAGTTGGGAGGAAAATAATGTCAACTTTATCGTCAAGAAACTGCTCGATTATTCGTTAAAAAACATTGCAAATACAAATTGACAGATTTCTTGTAAATGACAATTGTTTATAATTACCAAAAGGAATACCGAGTGTGATATAAATGTCTTACGTATTCACCAAATGTTTCTTTTACAGTATGTACTTAACTGTTATAAGCTACAAACGTAAATATGCCATGATATTCTTATGTGTTTTATACACGGCAATAGAACTTACCTGGTTGCTATGTAATAAGTAGCTTTCTCCGTCTTTGACAGTGAAGTCCGATGGGAGCCCGATCCCTTTGACAAACAGCGAGTCTTTGAGGAGTGTAGTGAACGCTCTCAACATGAACGATACGAACAGATGCATGTGTAGCTTGTTGCGTGGACATCTTAAACGCCTGTAAAACACATCAGCTGTAACCTACTACTGTGTACATACCTGATATTGTATGGGATCTGTATGTATCTTAATAACACTAAAACCAGTTTGTATTTAGATTGTTATTGTAAGTGAATTCTAATGAACAGGGTCAAGATAAAATATAATAAATAATACATTGCCGTTTCTGAAGAAAGGAACTATTATGTCGTACTTAATGTTCCCTAAATGTATAAAAAATACTAAAAATAATTGTGTTAAAATAATATTTGAAGGGTGGATAATATTCATAATGAGTTGTTTTCATAAAGCAGCAAAATATTTTGTAATTACTAAGGTATTCGTATGAGAGAAAGGATTGTTTGTAGAAGTAAGGAGCAATGCATGGTTTCCGATGAGCAACATTCCAATAAAAATTCCACCTTCACATTTTTCAAATTTCTGAACATCATTATACACGAGCTAAAACTATCGAAGAATAGCAGAGTAAAGATATATTAGAATTTCATTGGCGTTGTTTGTTTGACAAACATACTTATCACGGTCATTAATTACGATAAAAATATATTTTTAGTTAATCAAAGTATGGTAACTGTGGTTATAAGCTATCAATGGGAAATATATGAACTACTTTTGGTAACACTTTGTAGGTCATATGCTATCTATTTTATTGACATTTAAAAGTGAGATACTTTCTGATTTTTTTAATTAGACTTTAAGTTACAACTCGCATCAGCCTTATTTGAAAATTTAAATAGTATAAATCTACTATCTAATATTTTATAAGAAAAGGCGTACAAATAATACAAAAATTAATAGCTAAAAATTATGTATTTTAATTGAATAATAATTTAACAACCGCTTCAATGTATATCAACATATAATATGGTTATTATTGTGGGAAACTGGGAATGTTCATGGATAAAACATTTAGAATATGACCTTTTATTTATTATTTTATTTCTATAATATACGACATACTTGTTTACTTTGTTTTAGTTAGGACTTTTTTTCTCTCCAGGATGGGTTTGAAATGTACTAAACTAACGTTATACTGTCATATGTACTATGTATACTAATGTGGAAAATGGACTTCATTATTTGGTTAAATAGCTTGGCAAACCTAGTAAAAAAACTAATTAACAGTTTTCCTTGTTTTATATACATTTACCATTGTAGTCAAAACTAATGATAATCTCGTACTCACCTCAGAGTTGCAAATATACAGAACGCTACCATCAATGTGGCCAGCGACACGCCATAGCCAACATGTGACACCGCCTTCACTATAGGAACATATTGCTGCAACAAAAAACTGTTAATAACTAGAGGCTTTACAGTATAGAGATGTCATAGTGGTCATACTTTGCATTTCAACATTATTAAGAAAAGGTATTATTTCTCTGCATAGTATATTTCTCACTAATCTAAAACCAGTATACTTTTAGAGCCAAATTATTGTTTAATATTCTGACAATTAATTTACTATTTTATATTGTAAATGGTAATTAAACATGCAAACTGTAGGCCTACATATTCAGTTAAACTTTTTGGACACCAAGTAATATATGTGTAGCTTAAGCTTACTACTTGAACTTTACTATCACGCACCGTAATAATGTTTTTAAACTCCCAACGTTTATACTATTGACCATTAAAAAGTGTGTTTTGTCCTTGTATCTTAGAACCCCTCTATGTTAAGAATTGTACGCCTTGATTTAGAAAGTATTTAGATTTTGTTTAGGTTAGATATATAAATAGGATAGATTAAAAATGAAAAGGACATATGAAATATTGTTTTAATAAATTTACGACTACATTTCAGTATGTAACATACTAGTTGTACACTTCCTGGTGAAGAAGTTAGTAGTAAGTGTTTGATCCAAGCTTCTGATGACGTGATAACGTTATCATTTATTCCATAGATGTGTTCGTCATAAGAGAAAAATCAATTTTTTCAAGTCTTTCTCGCTCCTTTCTTTATAATCCTTCGTAATACAAATAATTTAAATATTTATAACAAACATTTGACATTGTTTTGAAAAAAGTACACTTACAGTAGACTGAAATAGAAAATTAAGAAAGAGCTTTGGAAATTGGTGTCAACAGTTAAGTTTAAACTCTCAAGTATTAACAACAAACAACTGCAAACTAACAGTTGTGGTTGGTTCAACTCTGTCCAGAGTTTCATGGTGGTAAATTAAACTAAATTGAACTCTCATAAACAGCACTTTTTATCTTACTGAGTTAAATATAAGTTATCAACGATAAGAAATGATTTGAAGATCTGAATTGCAAGGAAAGAAATAAAAATGAAAATATTTTCTACACAAGCAAAGTTTATGCAAAGGCATGCCTGCCTAGGCCTACTCACAGCTATTAAAGAAGAGTTTTCTATCTCCGGGTATTGTACCACTATGTTTGTTGTACTACTGCTGTAGCATTGTGAGTAGTTGGTCCAGGTTTTATTGGTTGTGGACCTCACGAACCACTCTCCTTCAGCGGTACACTGCTTGAACGCCATCATCTGACACATGATATTTATCACACACATAACCAGTAAGAGGTTCCATCTGACAAAATAAACTGCTTGAACGCCATCATCTGACACATAATATTTATTAAACACATAACAAGTAAGAGGTCATCATCTGACACAAGTAATTACTAAACAAATAACAAGTATGGGGTTCTATCTGATAGAATAAGCTGCTTGATCACCATTATCTGACCATTCAAATAGTTTTATGCGTTAAAACAAATTACCCTTAATAATTGTAGGATTGGTAATTATCGTCATTGATGTTTTCATTACTGATCCTCTTTAAAATGTTATGTTTTCTAAGAATGTTTATCTTGTTCCGGTTCAAATGGTTGAAAGGGTCTAATATTTTGTATTTTAAAGTAAAATTAACTACTTTGATTAGTGAAACTTGGAATGTCTGACTTTTTAAACATTGTACCGATGTGATTACAACTCACAGTGGGGTTGAAGCCGACGATATAGCCAGGACATGGCAATGACCTGAGCACTCCAGGCAGCGTGGTGGGCCAACACATGATCCCGTCCCAGGCCATGGGGCAGTGCTCCACTGGAAATTGAAATATTACATTGAATTATTGTAAATATAAAAGTTAGTATGTTAAATTATACGAATTAGACAACAATAGGAATGATGCATAGTTTAAAAAAAAAACACATATGTGAATGAAATACAGTTTTTCCTTTAATTTTTGATACTTTGATAAACTAATATAAAAGTATAAGAATATCGTTTACAATAGGCTGTTTTTTAAGTTTTTCTGAGCTTTAAAAGTAGCCATATTTTACAGAAATCAGACATTTCGTCCTACTCCATCCGTGGCACAATTCCGCTGTGTTCGTTTTATTCCAAAAGTGGTTACAAACGTAACATGGGTCTAGTTGTATTCATATTTCAAAATAATGAACAAAACATGGACATAGCGCTCAATAACGAAACCTACAAACAAATGAGTCGTAATCGATTAACATAAAATAATAGACTACTAGTGTAAATCGAACAATTGACAAGTAAGTATCAAAAGAGTGAATTAAAAATCAATAGCTCTCATTACAATTGTATAGTAGATTAATTTTTTTTAAAAGTTAGTTCAACATATTAAAGATTAAGTAACTAACTACCAGAAGTACTCACAATGTTATTACAAGCTCATTACTATCAATATGAATATTTTATTGATTTTCAAGACCTGACCCTGTTCTGTGGGCCAAGTGTTTCAAGAAAATACTTAGAGCTCCTTACATAGGAATCTGTACTATTTCAGCTACATAAAGTTAGAATTAATTTCCTACTACAGGAACGTCAAATGTCAATTAGTGATATTATTGCCCACTGGCGTTCTAGAATTGTCACCCAGAATTATACATGTGGTTACGCATGATGTGGCCACCGCAACGATGTTCCCGATCGGTTAGATGTGATTTTGTGTATTTATCGTGTGTTATGACTTTTATTTTAATGTTGAAGACGAAGCCATAGCGTAACCTGATGATGACACTGTGCTGACGAAACGCTTAGTAGTGTCTACAGGAATTGGAACGCCAGAAGGTAATATTATCACTAATTTACATAAAGTTGTCCACATGAAAATACGGAAAGGGTTATTTTATCCAGCTCATAATATCCAACCCTTACTATGGGCTGACCGTGAAATCTATTAGACCAAAAGACTTTATCAAAGAAATCTCGAATTACCTGAAACTGAATTCTTTGAATTTGTAACGGCAGCACTTTATTTGATGACTTAAAATTTACTTGAAATTCCATACTTTTAAAACCGATAGGAAAGTATTGATATTTTTATTACTAGATTTACCTGGTATGGTGGATGAGTTGATGGCGACGCTACACACTGCCTCCATCTTGGCCACCATCAGCTTCTGCTCTAGCTTTTGGCGATAGAACGCCTCATTCTGAAGTGCCAAGACAGAGAAAAACACGTTAATCTAGCATAACATGTTCTATTTCTTGGTATGAATCGAAAATTGATCAAATGTAGTAGGTTTTTTGATAAAGTGCTATTTTTCAAGCATACTTATTTACTTTAATTGTTGTGTCTGTAATATCCTGAAATCCTCAAACGATAAAGGCAAATAAATATAACTTGGCACAAAATGGTATTATACAAATCAAGCACTTAACCTCCCGTCAGATCATGCTTGTACAGATTCCGAACGGTGTAGCTCACAAAGAGATATTATATACTACAAATATTTTAGTGTAAGGAAATAATTTTTTAAATAAAATTGTATACTCGTAACTATTCAAACCCTGGATTTAATTATCCAACCGAATGGTGGAATCAAGTTACTAGTTTTAAACAAACCTGTTTAACATAGATCCACTTCTACTATTTCAATACAATATAAAGTATAATTTTTCCCATTCCGTAAAAGTATTTAATTATTATTACTGGAATCTGAGTATTGACTTGTTATATTCTAAAATACATGAATGTTTGCTACTGACATGCAAAGGATCAAAGGTTGGTCTGTTATTTACGATCACCAATTGCACAATTGCATTACTCACAGTTGAATTATTATTTTGCGTTGTTCGTTCATTCATTAGGACGCTATTTTGCTACAACAGTTAAAACTATGCAATGCTATGCATTTTGAGCACTACTAAAGGGATTTTATTCGTATTTTCTTAAAAGACTTTTTCCTACAGTCACCCGACAAAGTGGGCTTCATTGCACAGATTATAGTACAGAAAGCCTTACTTTGGTACACACCAGTATTTCAACCAAACAACACAAAACAGCGTGCTTTAATTATGCACGTAATACGTGTAGGCTTGAAAATAAGTTGGCAACACTTAAAGATATTACGACTACGATCGCCTGGTGCAGCGTGTCCCCATTTCGTTTAACGTTTAGATTTAACCTAACCTAAACGTGTTGAACAGTGTTTGGAAGACTAATTATTTATATGATTTATAGTAACTGTAGGAAAAATATAATGTTCAACACGAGTGCAAACTTCCTTTGCTGCACTCAAGAAACATTCCACACTCGCCTACGGCTCGTGGACAAACATGTCTCTCGCGTGCAGCAATGTGTCACTTCGCCCATTAATTACAAATAAAAAACTATTAATACACTTTATAAAATGAAACATCTTAACGGCACTATTATAAGTACTATTATAAGTATTATAAGTGGTATTATTATAAGTACTAAAAATAAGTACTAAGCTATTTAAAAATACACTTTACGTTGTGCTATTAAACACGTGTTACGCTAGTAAAGTGTTATAAGCGCTTAGTAAAAACACTTGTCTCTATTACATGGTACCCTTAGTTTATTTTACTGAGTGTTCAATAGTAAGGTTTAGCTCTACGTAATGGATAGTGTGAAAGTTAAAATTATATTCATAAGTTACATTAAGTGTCAGTATTGCAAAGTTTTTCCTTATACACTAGAAATGCGGCGAATGTTTTTATTGTCCTGTCTTATTTTTTTTTTTTTTTTTTTTTATAAAGACGTAGTTTATACCGTACTTATGTAGGTGTCTTAACGTGTAATGGCAAAGGCTATCTGATTTAATCATATTAGTAATTCTATAAACATCCACAATTATGTCTATGTTGTGTGTATGAATAGATGATTGTTTGTATACTTAACCATCGAGTTTTTTCCAAGTTTAACCAGTTAAAACTTACCAAACCCGTGTTACTTTTCATGTTAAGTTCTTATTTTTCCATCTCGTCAGCGATTCATCTGAAATGGAAAAAAAGAAAAATAATCATTGTGCGTAAATATATTCATTTGACAAAAAGGCCCAATCTTTCTTTACACATACAAGTCAACATTTCTGAAATCTGCAAATACAAATTTGAACTAAAAGTCCTATGAGAATCACTAATTTAACAACATGAATCTAATTTGTGTTGTGGTATCTAAAAATTAATATTATTTATCTTGGGACTCCCTTTTAGAGAAGAACTAACAAAACACTCCTTTAAGAAGGTAGTCTTTGTGTGGCCCTCCTGGAAAGACCTAGGTAAGAGCTCAATAAAGTCGTATTCATTCGTTCATTCAAATGAAATGAAATGAAATGAAAAATCATTTATTTATACAGGCAAAGTTAGGGCCACATGGCCCTTTCTTACACTTAACCTGTACTGCATTCATTCATTCATTTGAGTATTGAAATATTTTTAAAAACCCTTTCAGGTTAGTCAACATTTTTGACAAACTTTACTTTGGCTATGCTATATTAAATGTGGATTTACAGCATATTGGTAATCATTTTCGCTCGTTGGATTAAATGGCCACAAAGTGGTAAAAGTCAATGGTCAAACGTTGACAAAAAGTTAGTTAACTTAGGAGTTAAACTTCAAAGTCTGCTAGGTTTGCAAGGTAATTACAGAGTAACCCTTAATCTAGTTATTCAGCACTGTGGTGCTTAATTAATGAATGAATGTGTGTGTATAGTCATAGATAAATTATATGATTATTTCTTCTCTGTGATACTGCAATTTTGTAGCTTGTATACTGCGAATTATCTATGTATCAAAAAGCGTTGCATGACTATAAACTTGTTAAAAATACACTTTACGTTGTGCTATTAAACACGTGTTACGCTAGTAAAGTGTTATAAGCGCTTAGTAAAGCGCTTATAAGAGGCATGTCACTTTACCTTTTTTAAGAGGTTATTTTTAAAAGCCATCTAAGAATTGTTGCAACTTCAGTTTGATATACATTTTATAAAAGCTTATTCATTACATCTCTATGAAAGCTATTTTAAATTACATAACCTTTTAAAAGGTTCAATAGAAAAAAGGTAGCATGTAAAGTAGTGTATCTTGAAAGCAGATGAGAAAAACAAACTATTTCAGTGGATATTGCCAGGATTTAAGCCTGGGACCTTGGGGACCGAAGTCCCGTGCACTGCCACTAGACCACCTTGCTCTTCCAATCCTTTAAAGTAAGGGCAAAAGAAAAGACCCAAGCAGAATTATAGTTTTAATTCCTTTTAGTTTTAAACTAATTTTTGAATGTTTGCGTGTTTAATGAATGCTAGGGTTGAATGTTTAATTTACACAAAACTATTCCACAAAACAAACTATTTTTGCTTTTAAATGAGTATATTGATGACAACATCCAACTCACAATGGTCACAACATGTTTTACTATTACGATCGTATATTAAATTTTACTCCCTATCCGTAAATAATAATTGAACAAAAACTAAGTTAAAAGAGTATTACTTATATCAGTGAACCGGTATAAACATTTATTTTGCTGTAGTTTATTTCACCGCCAAACTGTTGACCTGGAAAGTTGATGGAGAAAAGAATTGTAACACACCCCGGTTATACAGAGGTGTCTTGGATATAAACACTATGAAGACATTAGTGTTGACAGTTATGTTATGTGAAGTCATTTGGCTGTGTAACGGTGAGCTGTTTTAGGTATTCTCTCAAACTATTTCAGCTTTGCTTTTACTGAATGAAAATATTAGAACAACTTGTTTCAACGGCATTTAGTTTAATGTGTAAAATTTATTGAACTGTAGAACGTTATGGCATAAATAATCTGTGGCATGATTTTACTTCTATTTAAACAAATAGTTTGTCGTAACTTAAGAATCCTTAGTACACCCTAAAGTTTTTACTTTACTCTTCAAAAAACACGAGTAGCATTTGTAGCTATAAATTATGGTTATTTTGATAACAATTTTAAGAAATTTTCAAAACTGCATCCTTAGGGTTTATGAGAAAACACGGAGCTTCGTTGAGTTAGACAAAGCAGAGCTAATTTAAATTATAAAGAAGGTCAGTACGACAGCAAATTAAAAATTAAAAAGACTTTAATTGCTGCTCAAAGTAATATACGGTGGTTCAAAGACTTAAGTTTCCTAGAATCTCTATTACATGGTTGACCTTAGTTATAAATCGAATCAAGCTTGCTGTATTGATAAAGAACCTTCAGTATTGTCATTTTATACAAACCTTGTTAAGCTGAACTCATCCCAACTTTTATAATTAAAAAGTTTATTAAAAATAGTGTGCATTCTTTTCTCTTAACTTAAAAGTAAGTTAATATTTTAAAGCAGTATGAAGAGCTTCGACAAATGGCGTCTTTCTATTATTTGGACTAATAAAGTACAAAAATGTCATAGTCAATTCTCTAAAGGAGAATACATTCAAATTGAAGTTATTTATTTGGCTACACTCACTGTAGTATAATTTGGTGGTTACACTAAAATAGCATTTGTGACAATTACTAATCTAATTCAACCTAGAACATAAAAAACAATTTTATACAATTGATCATCTAATTGAGAAAATGATCATGCTATACTAATGCTTGTGTCTACTTTGGCAGTTATTCATGTTTGTAAGTGATTCACTTTTCGATCAGTCTAGGTAAGGTTATGGTGCAGTGCAGCTAGAGTAGCGTGATTCTTGTAATTTATCTATCTCCTGGAGGAAGGGTTCCTCCTTAATTGACTACAAACCACACTGACCTCCCAGTGTTTCATGTCTTCATAATCAAACAAATCAAGCTGTTGTGTGATTTGGTTTGGTATTGTAAATGTTGGTTGTTTTAAGCTGTAAGGCGGGAGAACAAGTTTTACTCAAACACTATCAATAATCCAGCAATCTAATAAAGAGGAACTAGGATTATTTTATATGCAGTTTCATTTCCATATTTGATGCTAGAGGCGACAAATATTCGCATTAGTTTGAAGTCTGCAACAATTGTTCTCTTTATCTTTACAAGTAACATTTTACCGTGTAAAAAAATGAAATATTTTCTAGAGCATCGTAAATTACTCTCAATTTTGTGGTAAAACGTTTTAGAATTTTATCATAGTTGGTACCTTGTTCCTAAATAAGTTTCACCTTGAAAACCACATTTACACAGTTTTCTTATACGCGCATACGTTGAAAGTTATTAAATATTATGAAGGTTTTTTTCTACAAAACGGTCGTTACTTTAGGAACTAGTTTAATGGACTCGTTAGATAACGTTTAAAAGTACATTTTGTATTTTCCAAAACATACTCAGCTCCTTTTAAAACCCAAGCTCAGGTATAGATTTTAGGTTAAGGTGTTAGTAACATGTTTAAGTACCGTGGATCCATGGAAGTTTCCAAAGTGATGTTTGAAGAGACACTTTTAGCGAATTTCCCTATAGGGAAGTAGCTATTACCGTAGGTCTCGTGGTAAGACCTAAGCCCGGGACCGATTTACTCTTTCATTTTGATGTCCCCAGAGGCCAAAAACACCATTCGTTCAAATTTATATATATATATATATATATATATGTATATGTATGTGATAAAATTAGGTTTGAAGGTGTAAGGTGGGATAAACTTGAGTGAGTTCACGAACCAGCATGATCGGACAATGGGATCGGGGGTTTATGGGGGGTTTTATGGGGTAAAAATAGGTTTTTCCCATTTTTGACCCAAAAAACACAAACTTTCACAACTTCTTTTTAAACCATTTTGTAGAGCATAAAAAAACAAATAATTTAGTATATTGAAGCGTTATTATGCGCCTAATTGTTACGGAGAAAATTGAACAAAAATTTAATTTTAAAATTCCCATTTTATTCTTAGGGAGAATAAGTTAACTGTTGCAGTTTGCTTGTTTATGAACATATTTTGATCAAATTTGGAAAATACATTAATTTCTTACTAAACCACAGTACCTTTTAATATTTTACATAAAAAAAACTTTATTACCCTCCCTGTTGCAGCAAACCTAAGTACTCATTAAACTAATTCTGTTTAAATAAGGGAATAAATGTGATATTTTTAAGGAGACATTTTAGTTTAAATCCAATCAGGCAGATGGAAATTCACTAAGTCTGAAGGTTTGCTGCGGCGGGGGTATATTCATGTTCCGATATTCTTCGACACTGTCCGTTCAATCTTGACGTTGGTTTTTACGGACATGCTCAATATCAGTAGTTTTTAAATCGCACGAATCGTTGCGTAAACTAATATTAATATTTTCTTGTAATTCTATATATTTTTTTTTTATATACTATGGATTCTACATGGAAATGTCAACAATAAAAAAGCAATGCAATTGGACTATTTAACTACATGACTTATTAAAAATGGTCAGAATGGATATGCAACAACGTGGTCTTACAATTTATTCTTTTTCTAGTTCCTTCCGAAAAGGCTTCCATCATTTTACTTCGTTGATAAATTTGAGATTTTTTATTCGGGACTTAATTATAAATTAACCTTCCATTGATCTCGAAGAGAGGTGGAATCTAACCTAAGCTGGGTTTTCCTAGGCGCAATTAACATTAAATTGCCTAAGACAAGTGGAGTCCGCTCTCCGCGTTCCTCTCTCCGCTCTCCACTTCCGCACCTAGGAAAACCCGGCTGTAGGAGGTGATAATGAAAGCGCCCCAATTTATAAATAGTTCAAATTACTTAGTATTTGCCCTATACATGTAAATAGTACATCAAAGCACAGCTTATCTTGTGCCATTTCAACCTCGGACTTCAAGCTACCGCGATTCACACAATTTCAAAATTGTCTTTGTACATGAAAAGTTTGGTGGCTTCCACCGATTATTTTTAGTTTACGCTGTTATGCTAAATAATTTTATCAAGTTCTCTATCGTTTTCTGATATAGAACAGCGCTATGTGAGCTGAAGATATAATGTGGTCTAAGCAATCTCTCGGCGTTTTCACAACACATTTTTATAGGTATCCACTGCAAAATCACAGTGTTAACAA